CTAATATAAACAAAAATCTGTGTTTTCTAACTTGGTATTCCAGGTGCGCAAGAAATTCTGGACTAAAAGGTGGAAAGATGGAGCACCTTCAAAAACATCTTACGAAATACAAGATCAAGTACTATTCATTTTCCATTTCAAAGCAAAGCTCAGTACTGAAAACAGATCGTGTTTCAAATCCTTGAAGTGTGCAGGAAGACAACACATAGTTAACTGCTTATTCAATTATTTTGTAATTAGCAGGAGGCACCACCATTCTGCCCAAGGAACACGGATCACCCAGCAGCTTTTCTGCCATTTGCAACCACACGTGTTTATCTCCCATACAACTTATGCCTGTCTGCATTGATGCAGCCACCCCACTACATTCAGTGTTGAAGGAAGGAGAAAATGGGGAGGATAGTCCAGGAAAACCCCCAGGGTTAAATATATGTATATATGACAGATGGGCAACATGCCTTGGTACACCACATTGCATAGAAACTGTGGAAGAGCAGCCAATAAAACCGGCTGTTTGGAGAAGAGAGCTATAAACTGGCCTGTCATCTGCATCCTTCATGAGGACGAAACTCCGTAAGTTATCGTAGCTACTCGCGTCAGCCCTACTTGAAGCAAGATTTGCAAAAAATATATACCATTACTCTTCCAGCTGACAAATAGGGAAGGGCTTGGTATCCTGTTAATCTGTTAAATGATCTCATCAATTTCTCTCACCAAGGAGCCCTCTGAGCGAGTAACAGGACTATCATCATGGTAATTCAGTGAAATTAGCATGCAATTAATTATCATTCAAATCTCTTTTAAATTAGGGAATTGAAACAAGGTATAAGGGAAAATAAAAAAGACAGAAAAAGAAAAAAAGAGAAAGTGAGGAAATAATACAAGTTTGTCCTTTATGATGCACTTATGTCTTGCTAACAAAATGCACATCCTGCAGCTGAGTAGGCAGAGCAGACATTTGTACTCCCCATTTCTGTGGGAGCAGAAGTAGGTTTTGTAATCGGCATTAATCCCACCCAAAGCTTCAGCTGGAGGTAGCAAAGGGCTACTGATTTCAACAGGGCAGCAACTCGTGGATTTTGCAACTGATCAAACCTGAAAGATGCTGCTGAAATTTGTTCCACCCAAACAAGTTTTTTTTATGTCTTTTCATACTCAGAGCAGAGAGAATGGCAAGAACGGGAGCTTTTTTCCCCTTACGAGATCGCAGGTTGGGACTTGTCACTGTCAAGGCACTTGGTGTTGCACCTGGGTAGGGATGGGAGCGACCACACACGCTTCTTGTATTTTGTGGTGTTTCCTTCTCTTATAATCTCATTACAATCATGCCTAGAAACACCACAGAAAGGAGCTCTCTTAAACACCAGGAACTTTCAAATTATGCTCCCCTGCCAAAATATTTATGTTTCAGAGAAAAAAAAATACACCACCAGAACCATTTTCAACTCTCCAGAAATTTCTGTATGGAAAAAAAATTTAAAGGCAGAATGGCTGAAGCCTGTTCTGCCACACGAGACACACCACAGCTCCATATTGGGAAAAAAAAAATCAGAAGTGTTTTGCAGTGATGTTAAATACCCAGTTGTTTATAGGTATTAACAGAATCACCAAAATAATTAAACAGAATCAAAGGTGTCATCCTCTATCATTACAGAATTTTTAGATTCCAGTATTATGATGTCTGAATACATTGAGACATCTAAACTACAGGAAAATACTCCTTTTCAAGCAATCTCAGTGAATTAACAGAGACCAATCTGATGACCTGTGGAAAGCTTCCTGCTCCTTTCCAAGCAGCTTTCAATGTATTGAGCAAAATTCATGATTTTATGTATCAAAATAGGCTACTTCAAGAACCTGATGCTTTCCTTTAAATCCCAAACCCTAATACTCCTTTAAGAGAAATTGTTTAATATTAGCACTGAAGGAGTCAGAGAATTACAAAATCAGTAAGAATTCATAACTTCAGCATTTTAATCATTAAGAGCCACTGTATTTGATTTACCCCACGATTTTCATCAGTTTTGAACAAGTTATTCTCAAATGTAAGTCTCCAGCAATCCTCTGTCAAACATGTTAGTCCTCTCCCCCATAACTTTTACTGCCTCTAGATCGGAAACCATACAAGCAATTTAATTACTTCATTAGTTAATTCTTTAATTCTTTACCCTAAAAGCCAATAGAACTAAGTTAATACACAGCAATTCTCCACAGAAAAGGAAAACATTACAAACATCTGTAGAGCTCATGAAAATAAAGCACATGCATACTTTTTACTATCCTTAACACCTACACCAAAAAAAAAAAAAAAAAGCTAGGGAGGTTTGTAACACTTCAAATGAAGGATATTTATGCATACAGAAAAAGGGCATTAAATTATTCCATACTCAATACATTATTTGTATATCTCAAATAGTACATTCATCTTAGCATATTAGAATAATAATCTGGGAGAAGATCCCATTCCAGGAATTATAGCACACAAAGAATCTTCTAGGTTGCACATTTGTTGGGAAAACCAAGTATTTTGATAGTTTTCCTGGCTTTTTATTTATTTGTTTTAATTTCCAGTGTGTCGAGCAGCTTATTGTACCTTTGTTCAGCTACAGGGAAAGGACTGTTTAGTTTACAGCACAGTTTTATATGCAAATTATGTTCTCTAGACTCTACTCATCATAAATGTCAGGAGAAAAAAAAACTTGACAAATTTAAGGCTGTGAAGATTTTTAAAGCTTTGAAGAAGTGCTGAAATGAAAGCACTCACTGTAAAGTATTTTCTTTAAAAGTGTGCCAAATCATGTATATATATACATTTTAATCTAACACTTTACATTCCATTTTCCATTTCTGAATAGTTATGAAAATTAAAAGAGCCTTGCCTTCTGCATCCAGATTTTATGTTTGCTTATCTCTCCCCAAAATAAAACTTGTTTCTAGTCTGTGGAAACATTTCAGTCAGAATTAGTTGTGTCAGAAAAGCTTTCACACTCACACAAATCAAAATTCAGGACCAAATTCAGAACTGAAAATGAGGAGACATTTCATTGCCAACTTGAGGTGGGGGGGAAGAAGAAGAAAAAAAACACTTAAATCAGCCAGCTGTTGCACTAACAACTTCAAATAAAGAAATTGTGGAGCTTATTCTACCCTTTATCAATAATGCATGGCTGCGCACAGACAATTTATAGCTGTTTTCCATCACTAGGTACTGTGTACTACTAAATTAAGTCTACAAAATTCAAGGACAGTCCACCCACACAGCTACTGTAAGCTAGCCAGGCCACTTTGAATAAAGATTTTAAAGGCATAAAGTGAGTTTTATTAGCATGCTAAGCCACACTTCTTGGTGGACCAAGCACCTTCTTTAAAAAAGTAGAACATTTAATGGAAAAGATGAGTTGCTCTTGTACCTTATATGTAGAGAAATAAAACATATATATGCAATATCTAGAAATTCGGAATTTATTAAAAATAAAAACCTGAGGCAAGAAAATAAATTGTTTTCTATATTAGAAATTGACTGTCTCAGAAAACCCAGAGACGAACTAGTCAAGTTCTAACAACAAAAAAGCCAAGAAAGGTAAAAACATTGTTAAGCGTTTTTGTTTACATTAAGGGAGCGCCAGAGATTAATACATGTTTAAAATAAAAATCCTTCTCAAGTGATATAAATCAGAAAAGCAAATACAATGCTTTTATTAACATAGAGACCTTGATATCACACTGAGGTCTCCTTAAGAGCACCTACGGCACCAGTAAGAAGTGAGGTCTAACAGCCCTGGTTAAACTTGGGATGGCATGTCACAATTTGGTTGTTTTCAGACAGTCCGCAATATCAGAGCAGCCCCAGCACTTAAGTATATAATCTTAAGCACATCTCAGGTTAGGTGCAATGGGCTGGAACACGGATGGCAGCACCACCAGGAGGTGGCTTGTGGTCATGGTGCAAACTTCTGACCTTCCTTCAGCATTGCCGAGCACTGGAAAACATCATAGAATCATAGAATCATAGAATGCTTAGGGTTGGAAGGGACCTCTAGAGGTCATCTAGTCCAACCCCCCTGCATACGCAGGGACACCTAGAGCACGTGGCACAGGACTGCATCCAAGCGGGTTTGGAAGATCTCCAGAGAAGGAGAGGTTAGGGATGCTTTCCTCAAAAATGTATCCCCCTTGCAGATGCACAGATACAAGGACCTCATGGACCACTGAAGCCCACTGATTACTCTTGCAGGGTGAGGGGCAGAAATTCTGACTGAACTGGTCTAGCGAGCTCAGGAAATACAGAAAGCGTTGAGCCAGATTTGAACTGTATCTTCTCACTTAAACACTGTGCAGGGGCAACCAACCATCTAGTGTTTGGTGAAGTTGTTTTCATGCTAAACTCTGGCAAACACAGAACCAGCATGTTCTGTCCTACAGGCAGGAGCTGCTGTTCCAGATGGGGCAGCTCATCCTGGAGCCCATCTCTAGGCATGTGAAGGTAAAGAAGGTGATCAAGAGCAGTGAACATGGATTCACCAAGGGGAAGTCATGTTTAACCAACTGGACAGACATCTACAATGGGATGACTGGGTGGCTAGATAAGGATGAGCAGTGGATGCTGTCTACCTGGATGTCAGCAAGGCTTTCGACACTGTCTCCCATAACATCTGCATAGGGAAGCTCAGGAAGTGTGGGTTAGATGAACAGACAGTGGGGTTGATCAAAAACTGGCTGGATGGCAGAGCTTAGAGGGTTGTGCCAAACATCATTTCAAACAACAGCAGTCAAACCTGGCCGAGTCCGAGAATTGATAGCAAAAAAAGGTCCTTAAGACAAGCACTAGCTTTCAGAGCTTCCTTTAATCTTCATTTCCCCAACTTTGATCTTGATGAGGCCAGTGATTTCTGCTCTAACTCACAGATATCAGTAGCCAGGTGTAACAAAAGGAGTAGAGTTAGCACAGTTAGCATTCCATAGTATTGTCCCCCTGCGGCAAAAAAAAAATCACATCTTACCTTAAAACATCATAACAAACACGTTGGTCTTCTGCTTGCTTTCAGTTCAGCACTTCAGCATTTGACAGCACATTCAGGAACGTCAAAGTCATCCTACACAAAAGAGACGGAAATAAATTACTCATTACATATATTGGGCAATACATTGCGCGCTTAAGAACTGCAAATGCCAGGTAAAGCCATGCTGCCAATCAGGAAGTTACCAATAATCACAAATAGGAAAGGCTGAGTAACAATCTTCTGGTCACAGCTTGCAACAGTTATGTCACCCTGCACTTGCTTTCTCAGCTTAGATCCTCTTTGCTCAAACAGCAGTCTGTGTGTATGTACAGAAACAGAGTCCTGGGCACGTCAGGACACCCCAGCCATGCCAATTACTGAAATGCAATAGTAAATGTTTAAGGAACTGCAACTTGAGCTACTAACTTTGGCTGGGAAATGCAATAGAAAGCCCCAGGTGAGCAAAGAAATGGTACTATGTAATCCAGCATGTCTACAGACATTAAAGATTTACGTAAGCTTTTCACAGACTGCACAGAGACACCCAGTTTGTCTCATTTCCCTAGAAAAAGGACTTCTAGCTCTGATCTTGCAAGGGCTTGCACATACCCTTACCCTTATTGAAAAAAATTGTAATCCAAATTGCAGTTAAGTTCATACCTGAACAGTATGTAATGTGCAGTATACAAGACAACTCTTTTTGCTTTCTTCTACAAGAAGTTACCTAAGATGCTCCCTCACCAAGGTTTGGACTCTTTCTGTTTCTTCTTTTTCCTCGATTCCAGATAACTTGGAATGTTTAATTTCTCAAATTAATACAGTTCCCCCAAAACACAGGCTCCCGTAGAGACAGATACAGGCAAAGGTGTCCAAGGCCCAGGCTGGTCCTTGCACCTATAAATCCTGCCTCAAAACCACTTTGCAGATACATCCTACAAGCCTGAGGCCATACTGAAGACCCATTGCATGCAGATGCCAATGCAGATGTGTATACAGAGATGTTGTTAGGATACCTGATAGATACCGGAGGGATTCAAGTTATCTAACATGGCTACTCAGGAGAGTTTTGAAGGGTATTTTCACTTATTTACACCCAGGTTTTAATTACTTACCTAAACCTTTAATATGGGAACACAAGACAATTAATTGGCCCAATCTGTAAATCTACATAGGTTTGTAGATGGAAAACAAAGGAGTCACAAGGAGCAATAATTAAAGGATTATTATAAATTAATATACTGATGCTCAAGCAGTGTTAACAGACCAATGTAACAAACACATGTCTTCCCATCCTACACTGTTTATAAATTTCTAAAACAGTCTAATGGTAACTGAATTCACATGGTTAAATAATCCACATTGGAAGAGAAATAATATGTCTGTTGGAGACAGCAGAAGGAGTTCCCACAAGAAAAGCTAGCCAGGAGATTCTGCACTTTACCAAGATAAACCAAAAACTGCATAATTTATCATAAAAGAAATCTAAAAGCACCAAGTGTCGCCTTGCTGGTAAAGCTCAGTAGCCACACCTGTAGAGATACTGGCCAGAATTAGAATAGTTTCCAGTGCTCTGCAGTGACACATAGCAAGAGGAAGCCCACCACTTCCTGTCCAGCACTTCCCCAGTATGGTTAAAGATATTCAAACGCTTGTGTAAAATATGAATTTTCTCTATACTGCATGTGAGCATCCCCAATATCCAAGACACATCTTCCTTGCAACTCAGTGGGAGTACTTTCCAAGACTCCTTAAAGTATCTCCATTTATGCCATGCATTAGGAGACTGGAGATGATAGAACATAAATCGCATCCTTGGAGCCACATATTCCTTGGTAATGTAAACTCCCACAACTGCTGCATTCTTATGAAAAGTTCAAAAGCAGTTTGCCATAAGAACATGGACCTAACACTTCAAGACCTCATCCTTCATCTTCAAGACATCTGGATAGTAGCCACGCACTGAGGACCATGGTTCAAAGGCGCAAACTCCTACCACCAGATCAAAAGTGCCATGTCCACATGATACATGTCAAGATTCTTCATGGTTCATTCTGTTCCAAAAGAATCCATCTTTGCCTGTCCTCCCATTGCCAGTACAAACTTTTCATCTGGTAGTCTGGGTAATTCAACTAGAATGATATTTATACCCATGCCTGAGTCAGATCAATCTGCACTACATTGAGTTTGATGGTATCGCAACTGTGCAACACCAAAACCAGGGCTAGAATGCGGCTCAAGAACCAAGCTGAACAAGTAACAACAACCTCCTACAACAGAACTGCTTTCATTGAAAAGGGCTGAACAAAGATGAAAAATCTGGGGGGGAGGCTAGAACATATCACACAAATCACCATCTTAAATAAACAGATGAAAAGAATGCTTCAGTTTTGCTTTTTACCCCAAACAAATCACAACATGCATCATCTCATTCCTACACGTCCAAGCCCAATCAAAACAGAAAAAGTTACACAGCACAGCTATTTTTCAAAACACATAATAGTAGCTGACATTCTGACTGAGATAATTTAAACATGCATATTTATAAATATTTTTATATATGGAAAATATTGCAAATAAAATTTGAACACGCATCATTTATATATCTCGTAACAAAAAGTTGCATTTCTTCCTTACTTCTATCTTACAAGTGGCAAACTAAATTCAGTTCCAGACCAAAAAAATAAAAATAAAAGAAAAACTCAGTGATTAGCACAGTTGGGTGCTAGGTAGCAGCAAAGAAAAGCAGAAAAACAAACATAGTAAGAGAGTTAAGTAGAGAGGTTACATAGACAAAGGGAAGCAAATTTGCTGATAAATTTGTCATTTCACATGAAGTTTTAACCCTGGTAATATTTTACATTTAAACAAAGACTGATATGTAGCAGGCATTTGTTAAATCTCTGAAGGCATGGCTTTGCTAACTTTTCATTGAAAGTCTACTTCCTTCACCTGAGTATTCATTTGACAAGTTCTCCACAGATCTTTAACAAGACTATTCCATCTTATCCTCTTTCCCATTTTAATATTGTTCAACACCTCCTCCCACACATACCGCCAACACATGCACCTCCCTTTAACAGATAACAGCCAGATTCACTTATCTAAAGAGGAATTTATTATGTTGATCTGAAAAAACACCAGCCCCCTCAGCTGCAAGGACATGCCTGGATAACATATTGAGATATGTCTCAGATGTTGCATCAAACACTTCAAAGTCAATTAAAGATTAATTGCATAGCACCAGAAAGGTTATTAAACTCTTTTGGGGAAATATATATATATATTTGAAAAGACTTCCTAGTGGCAAGAACAGTGCTTCTTAATGGATATATGCTCAGTATTTTTAGACAGAGAGCCATTAAGGAGCCAAAACCAGTACTCAATCCTAGTACATTTTACTGGCATCAGGCCTCCTAATTGCTAAAGGAAATTGCTTAGGCTATATCTGCATGGCACAGCACACTCTGCTAATTAACCCTGAAGAGACATCGATTAATCCGGGCAGAGCGCCACGCTAACATGGCTACTGTGCTAGCCTGGGAATCTCCCCATAGCAGTGATCTGTGCCATTAAGTCACTCCTCACGGAATCACAGAGTGGTTGAGGTTGGAAGGGACCTCTAGAGATCATCTAGTCCAACCTCTGCTCCAGCACAGAAGCCACAGTTGAGCTTCTCAGATGGGAAAACTGTGATAATGTCCATAAAGCCTGCTAGCCCTTCAACTGCAGCAATCCAGCCCCAAATTTAATCATTCATCTTGGTCTCAAAGTGGAGTACACAGAGATGCTTGTACGTGCTAGCGTAAATGTTCTCAACCAAGCTCCAAACACAGATAACACAGCCACCAAAGTTGTTAGCACATGGAGAAAAGTTAAATTGGTGCCGAAGTAACTGGGTAACTTTCCTTTTGACAGTCCAGCGATAAACCAAGCCCTGGGCTAACTTCCAGAACCACCTTATCTTCTGTTAACTGATGCCACCTCTTGGTACAGGGACTAGATCTTCACGTACTGCAAGTGGACTTTGAGCTTCTTGTGACTCGACAAAGCACACACCATAAGGAACAGTGTACTCGGCCACAGCTTGAGCCCCCTTCTCCAACGCAGACTGGTGTTTGTGCAGCTAGAGAGCAAGAGGAAATGGGAATGTGGGGATATATATTACAGCCTGCACCAGAACATAGCCCGCCACAAAATGGAAGGACATGAAGGGGTCATTTACTGTCGCCCTGAGCAAGCAAAAGTCAGGGGAAAGTGTTTCTCTGCTAGGCAGGACAGCATCCCCTCTGCAGTGCCTATTTCCCCCAGCCGTCTTCCCATTCACATTTAAAAAAATAGTCCATCTCTAAGAAAATCCTATTAGTCTGGGACTTTCGCGATGGCCCCTCTCAAGCAGCAGATCTCTTGAAAAACTCAGCCCCATGAATTAATGCATGAGTTACTTTAGCAACGAGGACTCGTGTTGCTGGCGAATGGGATACGTGAGCTCAGCCATAGCCCGTCTGGCTGCTCGCGTTTCAGCCTGCTCGCACAGGCACACGTCGCAGGACAAGAAAAGGACGGACTCACCTTGGCCCCGGGTTTGCAGTAGAACATTCACAAACCTTCCCACCCCATGGGGAAGGGAGCTGGTTTCAACAAACACGCAGTTTCCCTTGACAAATTACAGACTCAGCTGCTAGTCTAGCAAAGTGCATTGCGTTGACATTGAGAAACCACCTCTTTTAAGCAACACCAAAGCCCTACTGAGCCCTCCTGGCTTGTATCAGAGCAAACAAGAAATTACTTGGACTGGTCTGCCAAGTCCAACACACCTCTCAAATCCTACTGGCTTGCACACTGCATACTCATTAAATGACTAGAATTTTAACAGCAAATGTTAAGTAGGTGTTAAGTAGGTGAAACTCCTCTAATGGATGCTTAAAGAATACCCAATGCTTACTTTTATCTGGTTTGCAGGCAAGTCACTCCACATGGATCCCACTGCTCTCCGAAGGACCTCAGGTCTACAGGGTAAGGAAGTCAAGTCATCAGGACACAACCATTTTTTTTTTCTCTCCCTTCACCATCCCCCTTTCCGCAGATAG